ATACATTTCCCACGGGCCACGGGATATTTTTCCTGAATATCTAGAAACCTCGCGCCGTTTCTAGGGGATAGGTATAAATTCCAGAATGCGTAATTGGCTTGATCGATGAAAGGTTTTTTAACTCTTTGAGGCACGGTGGTATTACAAGGCTCCCACCTTTTTAACCCTTTCGTTACCTTGGACGAGATATCTCGCGACCCAATACTGGCCGATCAACGCTTTTGACGAGATATCTCGCGACCCGGTAGTAGCCGGTCAACGCTTTCGACGAGATATCTCGCGATCCGGTAGTAGCGGATTAACTAGATTATCGTCAAAAGCGTTAATCCGCTACTACCAGATCGCGAGATATCTCGTCAAAAGCATTAATCGGCCAGTATTGGGTCGCGAGATATCTCGTCAAGGTGACGAAAGGGTTAATGCGTGAATATGCACGGTGAGGCTATTTGTGTCCCACCCTACAACAACAAACTTAATTGAATTATTATTTTCCTATGTTTTTATATTATGCTGTTCCTTTATTAATAAAAATGAACCAACTTTGTTCGATTTAAAAAGAAATTAAATTTCTGTTCAACGTGGGGCTTTTTATCTTGTAAAATTACGTGCCTCAAAGGGTTACACGGGTTTCCGTGGAAAGAAAACCGTAGAGTACGGAATTGATAAAATGGAATCGAAATGCAGCATATATGCACTATAATAAAGTATATTTGCCGAATTTTCGGTTCTTCGTGCCTTAGGCGAGGATCCGCTCTGTGTTGATTTTTGTCAAGTGTTAATTAACCCTCTATGGGTCCGTGTAACTTTCAGATCACATTTTAAATGAAAAATTTTTTTTCATTTGCATATATAGGTTCCTAATTGCTGATTTTTCGTTCTCCCAATTTTTTTTTATTTAAAACAAAAATTCGGCCCATAGAGAGTTAAATCGATAGAAATTGCTTTGGTCGTCGAAATGAATTAGGATGAATTTAACCGGCGAGATAGTTCATGCGGAATCTAATTGTTAGGAGATCAGAACTGGAACATGCAATAATCGGTTCGGATGGTTGTAATCCAATTGCACTCGATCTTGTGTAGTTGATGCTAATCGCTCGCATCGGGTGGACGCCGAGACACAGCGTTCACTTCGAATCGATATAATTAGCACGTTTGTAACAAATTCAATATGCGATGGAATTGGTTATGGCATTTTCGGTTATCTGGACGAAAGATGGAGATGTATGGACGAACGGCGATTCGTAATCATTCGGAGAAGGACGGTGCTCTTGAGATTCGAAGGATGGAGTTGATTACGACCTCAGTTCATTTTTTCTGATTAGTGAATTAATAACACCGCCCAAATGCACTCGATTCATTAGTGTAGTCTGTATGATACATCGTTTGCAAAAAGTTAACAGAAATCAATTTTTAAGGTGAAAGCTTCTCTTGATTAGACACGAAATTTTGTAAGATACTTCATTCAAAGTAAATATTTTTCAAAAGAAAAAAATATATATTTGCCTCGAGTGAGTTGGCATGTTGGCAAATTGAAATTTAAAAACTGAACACGTCTGAGTTTTCCTGGAGTAAAATAAAAAAGGACTTCATTTGTAGCAGATATGACGATCTAATTGACTTTTGTACAAATTTACCTACCACAACCTGAGATAAATGATTACTTGGATGATCAAGTAATCATCTGAAAACTGATAGATCCTATATGACCTAAACACATTTTTTATTTAAATTGAATTTTTCCCTTAAAAAGTCAATTTTCAAATCAACATTTGTTAGAGTCAAATGTAAAAAGACACGTTGCCGAGACTTATTTATTTAAGTCAAATGAATATTTTAGGGCATTATCTACTATTAATTTGTTATCAAGTTATCAAGTATAAGTAGGCTAAATTGTTAGCCTAATAATTGTTATTTCGATATTTTATTATCAGATATTTAGTTGGGTCAAACAAGCATTTCTTTCAATTGTATCCCATTCGGTAATAACAATTTATTCGTGCTATTTTCCGATTGCTGCGTAGTTTTATTTTTCCTACAGAAAATCGAGGCCGTATATCATTTAAAAATACAAATGTTGACAGTTCGTGCTCGGTGAGCGACATCGAAATTTTAGAATAATTCGAGCCTCAACCGTCCTCCTTCGAAGGGGTCTTGAGGATGAGCCAAAAGTATTGCGAAAATCTCCGAGAAGACAAGAAAAAAAAAATCGCAATCTCTCCCCAGCCATCCAAATTCCAACATTTCGAGTATATTTTGACCTGACCTCGCGACCTCTTGCAAGTTACACCTACGTACGCGCTATAACATATGTAATCCATTGTTTTTTTTTTAACGTATGCCTATATATACTTTTTAAATGGTAATAATATTAATAATCGTATCATCGTTCTCGCATCGCTACGATTGGCACTTGATTTTCCATTTCGAAAAGAACGGAGGGGACAGTACATTTACTAATCGAACAAGACACCTAATCGACCAACTCTTCGAACCGATTTCAAAATTTCATTCGAGCTCAACTTCTCCAACTTCAAATCCATTTCCGACAAGATAATACCCAAATTAATATTGTCTGAATTGGGACTGGTAATTTACTGTTTCTAGTATTTATAGTATAGCGGTAGATTGCTAATTGCAAAAGACAGTATTCATTTGTCAACTGGTAATTGGATTGTTGAAGGCATAGATTAGAAACGATTTGATTGGGTGGAGCTGGAGCAAAACGTGACTGATATGGGTCGAATGAAATATGAAATCAAGAGAAATTAATGTGCTTTAACGGTGTTTTTTCTTTCTCGGGGCGAAAGAAGCGGGAAAGGAGATGGAACGATTGCTGGGTTATGCAAATTCAGGACCGAGGGAGGAAGAACGCCAACGTCACTCGTTCCCCACGTGGGTTTTCTTGGCCGCAGTGACACGTGGCATTTGACAGACGAGTCAGATTTCTTTAGTAAATGCGAAAAGCGGATTCCCTCCATTGTCGTGCTTCTAATTCGGTAATTCGCTCGTTCGCGCGATTCAACCAGGGCGCTCGCTCCAACACGAGGGAACGAATCACACGATCGAAGAACAATCGCCGATTTAGATTTTTTTTTTCTTTAATCAAGATCAGATCACGATCCCCTGTGCTATCGGCGAATCTTCGCGAAAAATGCTGCCTGCCGAACGTAACGCGAAAAAGAGCAATGCTTCGCCTCGGAAATGTTGCGGGCAAAGTGCAAGGAAATGAAAAAAAATAAAGAAGAAAAGCGAAACGCCAATAAAAATGGTAGAAAGCAGGGAGAAAATTCTTTATAAGCTTTTTAAGAATGTCCAGGAAGTCTGGAAGGTACCTGGAACGTTGCTAAATGATTCATGCCCTCGTATACAAGAAATTACTGTTTCAATTACGCGCTACCTCGAGACATTCTTTAAAGAAAATAACATGCCAGGCAAATAATTAAGATGGCCATAAAAAGAAGATAGATGTAGTGGTCTTGCTGGCGAAGAATAAATTTAACAGAAACTTTAGCTCCGAAGATTCAGATGGAAATTGTAAAATTAGGGAGGACACGATGTCATTTAATGACAAAGACAACGCGGATTAATAACGGATGCAAGGTGGAAGAGCTTATTTTGTATGAGATTTCGTCCATCTGGAACAATTTGTGTCTCCGAAAGGAACCGTAAATTATGAAATATCTGGGGTATTAATTCGCCCATTAAAGTCCCTGAATTGGTGATAAATGGCGTGACAAGTGAAACGGGGAGATAAAAAAAACGGGGAAGTAAAAAGCGAGAAATAACGCGGCGGCCTTACAATCGGCTTTCGCGATTGGCTGGAATCGAACCAAAGCTTCGCTTAAACTTTCAAGTACACCGGCCGATGACTGGCACTTGCGCAATTCTCCGAGGCGATTCATTGCTACATTGTCGAGGTACTTTGTGCTCCGTACTTTTCTCCTCTCCCAGATGCACGTACAAGTCTTTTCTTTCTATCACCGTTTAAAATCATTCTCAATGGAAGAATGGCGATATCTTGTCTACGTATGTACACGGGAAGCGCACTTGTGTCGTCGACTTAAGAGTTACACCTAGTATTCCTTTATCCCACTTATTACCCTCGACGCCGCTTTTCGCCACCGTACAGGAACCGTCTTGACCGAAATTTCTGTCGCGCCACATTGAAAGGGGACAAGTCTCGTTTATCAAATTTTTTCCACGGGCGCCGATAAAGCCAAACGAAATCGAGCCGATCGGGATTGTCCCGCGAGTGAAATTCAATCGGGAGAAAATCATGCATTGCACAAAGTACTTTGTAAGAAACGCCCTCTCCGCCGTCTCGGGGAGTTAAATTACTCGCACTAAATTCCAAACGACATACGACGTACCAACGTTTCTCGAGTTTAAGGCATTTCACGCGATATACGTTGCTCTCCAGGGGTAGGAATAAATTCTTTCCTCATGCTATAGAATTAATTTCTCTAATCCATATAGTATACATATGTGGATAATATAGGCGAAACCAAGAAAAGTAATAGTCTGACTTATGCCCTTCATCCGCGGTGCCACAGAACGGAGCTACACTTTCGGGACCTTTTCTCTCCTAGGCACAATTCATTTCGTCTTGTCTGTCGAACCCTCTCCTATACGATGTAATGGTAGATTTGCGCAAAAAGTGGAAACCATTAGCCACTCAGACGCTCATAAAGGTACGCTCTTGGAAGAAGTAAAGAGTATGACTGGTACGCAACGTGGTAACTATGAATCTTTCGATTTGATCGTGATGGGCCTTCGTAGATTCGCCAGTCAAGGAACGACGAGTATGGCACAGTGTTTTCCGCGTGACTTAGGTCAAGATTAATCGGCACCGAGGGATCTCATTCTCCAAAAGATCCTTTCCCTCGAATAGAAATGCTTGCGATCTCTCGGCCAGTAGATACGGATTCGGAAGTCGACGGAGACAATACGGAGATACACGCGGAATGAGAAAGAGAGAAAACAAAGAATAGGCCAGGAGATATCGTAGAAACGTTTTATTAGGGTACGTCATAACGGAGAAGATTAGTCGAATTAACATTATACACCCACAAGCAACGAAAATAATATATTAGTTAAATCACCCGGCTTTGTTACTCGATTACTCTTAAGGCTTCTAAATACGTATCCTTAACTTCGTTTTCTTTACAATTCGCTTGACTTTATAACTCTATGTACAATGCTATATACGTGCTGCACGTCGTTAATGTCCGAGTACAGACTGCGTATGGACTGTACCGTTTAGCAGGAATATCACTGTGCCATACGTTCCACGATAGTCGGCTCCTCGAATCTCTTTTATTGACTAATGCTTAGCCTACGTGCGATGTTTCACCGAGACTTCGAGGACAGTAGCTCTAAACGGGACTAAATACAAAAAGGAGATACACCATTCATACCTACGAGCCAATGGAAAATTTCTCTAAAATAAAACTCAACGATTAGATAAGCCAGTCGACGAAAGAATACCGGTATCAGAGAATACGGGATCTCTGGTGTACGTCCAGCACTTGAATCTTCTTCTTTTTTTTTCTTTATACACAGATATACACGCGCGTCTTCATCGCCGGAACACCATTACTGCCGTCAATTGAAATACCTAGTAAATTAATCGAAACTAAATACTTAACGTGGCAACTTGCAAATCCATAAACTTAACGAGCCCTTTCGGAACATCGCACGTAGACCTGTAGAGCCTACTGTATATCTCGAGCGAGGTCTTATGGACCATCGCTCGAGATCGGCGGGCACTGCCACGAAAGAGGAATACCTAACAAACGCCTAACACGCTCTAATAGAAATTAATGGAAAACATATGAGAAAAATTAACGTAAATCCTTATGCGATAACACGTGCTAGGATTTGAGTAACACGCGATAATTAACAGTTTGTCCCGTTTTCGTGATAGTAATTAGCTCTCGTGGGGGTCCAAAGAGGTCCATTGTCTCGGCCCACGGAAACTCGGGGCCGACTGGACCCGATCGAACCTTTATTGATAAATTGGACGCTTTCGGCGAATTCTTTTTTAACGTAATTACAGGCAATGCGTGATGGCGCAATTACCCTGCAGACGATGCGAGTAACTACATACTTCTATTCGACCCCTAAAAATACAACACGCTCCGGATGGTAGTTCGTTGTGAATCCTTAACAATACATCGTCATGGGTGCTAATTCCCTACGATAAACAACGTTGATTACGCTCATGACAGGGAATCGAATTGTGCGCAACGAGTACAAAATCTCCTTCCTCCGCGGGGTCCGTTTTCGCATCGCGGCATTGCATGCAGCGTAATTGCGCACTGATTCGACGTAGGAACGAGTACTCAAATTTAACGAGAGACCGAAACAAGTTCATGTTCTTTACATCGACCTTTTTGCCACCTCCCGCCTCAAAATATCTTATTCAATTTAGTCGTACTTCCTCGTCCCAAGGCAATCGCCACGGAGCGTCCATAACCAGGAATTCCTTGAAATTAACTTCCAATTATGAATACGAAATTAGCCGGGATACTTCTTCAATGTTGTATCTCATTAAGAGATTCGTGATATATTCTTCGACTCTAAAAAACGTAAATACGGCGGAGGACATTTTTCAAGGTCCTCCGGAAATTCTGGGACGTTCCGTGGGGCAGGTCAGGTCCTTCCGCTACATCGAATCATCCGTTACCCGAACAGCTATAATAGCAGTACGATAATAATAATATTATTAATAGTGATAGAATAATAATAAAAACTGTAGTAGTATCGGTAATAATGTCGCGGAACGTCGCGGTTCGCCGTCGTCGTCGTCAACGTCAACGTCATCGCCTTGTCCAACGACCGATATATCACTCTCGTTAAAAACCAATATGCCTGGTACCCTCCTTTTTCTCTTTCTACGGGTTCTCGTAAAAACCACCACGAGTTCACGACGAACTGGTTACTATAGTTAATAATATTGTTTCGTTACTAGCTATGTCGTTAAAATTATTAAAATATTTATATTACTCGATATACACAATCTGGACACGATCACATTGTTTATTCGTAACTCGGCCGAACTCGCATGATCGTCACCAACCCCGAGACGAGTTCGAGACCTTCGCGCACGAGAGCTCCATTTTTTAGTTCGTTCCTCGTTTATCGTCATTTAGCAATTCACAGGCAATGTCGTATCGCGAGAGTACTACGAGCTGCCTTCCAAAATATTCTTTCCTGTGTTCTCTTATGATTCTCTTAGGTTGTCATACATATTCTTCAAAAAAAGAAAAAGAAAAAAGACTCCTATAAAAATCCATAGAAAGTTACTCTCGAAATTGGAGCAGGTTGTCATATGAGATTAAAAGAGTACATTAACGAATTACGCTAGGACAATCCCCATGAAACGAATAGTGGTTACTTTTCTTTTTTCCTCAAAATTAAAGCAACTAATAAACTCCGGCTACGAATTTCCCCCCCGAAACCACTGTTTTTGTTTTTTTTTTCCCATGGCAACCCACTTCTATGAGAGGTGCCCGAAAGCAGCCTTCTCTAAATAAGTTTTTTTTCGTGGTTTACCCGAAACTTGTTTCGTGATTCATGAATATTCCGCGCCTCGACGTGATTCCTATTTTTTCATTTTAATTCAACAGGAATTGCGTTTGACTGGGTAAATAAAAAAAGAAAGAAAACAAAACAAAACGTAAACAAAGTTCCCGCTAAGTGAATATCTTTCGATGGATTTCGCCAAGACGAAGGTCGTTCATCTCGCCTTTGCTCGGCTCACCTGGACTCGATCATCGGTTTGACCAATTTCGACACCAGGACCAACGGGAAGGTTTCCTCCAGGGCGAGGGTCTCGAACGAAATCAAAATGACGAAGCAACGAGTTGACCTCGTGTACGCCAATGAAGTACCAGTGCCGGTCTCTTCCGCGGACTTCCGGCCTCGATTGGACTTCTCCTCTGATATGACACGGACGATCTCTTCCTGGACTCTTGGCCTCGGAAAGGACTGCGACGTCCCGTCGAACCTCGGGCCTACGTCCCTCAAAGTCTACGCCGATTAAGTGCCCGTTAAGTTCGACACGACGAAAATGCCCCAGGACTTGCGTGGTATAACCCTACGGTTTGTTATCTTGGACCCTCTCGCTCTTGCGCGTTAACTACTTAACTTGGACAACACTTGGACGTGCGTGCTTCCTCTATTTTACTTATCTAGTTCGCTACTTGTTTGCTTCACTGGACAGTCTTGGACGCTACTTAGCTTTCGGTTCCGCTTCCCTCGTAACCGTGTCTCCGTGAAGTGGAGTGTCTCCCTCTTGGCGTTCCCCAGACCTCCTCCGCGCGTTCCCCAAACGTCTCCGGTACATTCTCCGATTGTCATCAGCAAGTTCGCCAAGATCGAGCACTTCGCCGGCGATTCACGCAACGTTCGCCCCAGGTTTACCCTATTAACTTATTTCACGCTCCATCCCAGGTTTCGAAATCGATCGACGAGTCTCCGATCTACTTCTCTAGCCGATTTCCATTTTCGGTAGTTTGGGTAACCTGCGTCATCCTCGCGTTTATTGTATACCTAGCCAACGTTCCCTTGGGCTTTTCTAAATGACGGAGCATCCGACAACCTAGTGGTCCGTTCTCTAGGTCTCTCCTTGTCTTCCAGGTTGGAGAACGGAGCACCGGCGGCCTCGTTTCGATGCCTGGTTTTCTTCGTCTTCACCGATGTCTTTCACCAATTCCACCTGCCATGGATACTCGTTTATCTTCCCGCCACGGAAGAACGGTCAAAGCGAACGTTGAAGTCTCCTGAAGAAACGCAGGTACCTTAGCGCGGTGACAACCACAAGGAGGGGCTGTTAAGTCTTGAGGTCGGGTACCGGAAGACCATTCCTCGTCGCCAGTGCTGGGTGTACTTGGTGCTCGAACCACCGCTAACATTGCCGTCTCGGGAACGATTTCAAAATCCGAAATTACCATTAGCCGTTATCCAAGAAACCGCGGACTCTGCAGCATCGACGAGACCGTATTGACAACGGCGAGGAGACTGTCAATGGAAGAGAGACTTTCTGGCTTTCGTCGATACTTCGGACCTGCCGGCGTCGTTGATGACGTTAAATCGGACGATTTCAAACCGGGAACGAATTCAGCCATCGAAGTTAACGGTGCAGTTTCCCAGGAAGTTGAAATTCTTCAAGAGGGGTAGATTCCGTGACTACGTCGGGAGGAGCAGCGTATCCATGACCTGCAGAGGACAAATGACGAGAGACGGCTGTTCGGGCTCGAGTCGGAACTGCAGACCGTTGCCGCCCTTGGCGCCGGCTAATCTGGGCGATGCCGATCCAGGAACGATTTCAACCATCAAAAGTTAACATTGGAGTTTCCCGAGGAAATGCAGATTCTGCAGCAACGCCGAGAGCAGCGTATTGACAACCGTGAAGAGGCAAAGGACGAGAGGCGGCTGTTTGGGCTTGTGTCAGTACCGCAGGTTGTCACCGTCGTCGGCGCCAGCGCCGGCGCCGATGTTGACGTTGATATTGCTCGAGCTGCCGCTCACGATGCCGTTCTGGGTGTCGTATTCTAGGACCAATCGCTTTATATGGCTCAGCTTCTCGTGAAGATAGTGAAACCTCTTCTTCGTCTCCTGGTGAACTGGATCGCTTTTCGTCTGTTTGTACTCTTTGATAATTTGCTGCGATATTGCCTGGAAACGAAGGAGAGAGGTCAAGGTTTAACTCGATGCTCTCGAACGAGCTAGGAAGGTTCCCTTCGGAACGATCTGCTTACCTCCGACTCCTCGAAGTGTCCATTATTCAGCTCGTGTTTCCTCAACTCCTCCAGCTGCGCGAAGTGCTTGGACACCCTGGCCACCTCGGTGTGCAACCTTCGGTACTCCTCGTAGTCCGCGTTGAACTCAGCCTTGTAACGCCTCCTCTGTTCCGAGCTGCTTATCGTCGTGTAGTACCTACGGTCAAGGATGGACGAATTCATTAATCGGCGAACGGTTAGGAGAACGATGCGACCGAACCGAGTGCACGGAAACAATACTCGCGACGACCTTTCCACCGATCGGCCTGAAAACTAAGAGACGGTATACGGCGGACGAAAGACAATGGTATGGTGACTAACGTGAGGTAGTCGGGGTATTCCGTTTCCGAGGCCTTGGAGCAGGCCTCCTCGTTGATGGGCGAGGTGCGTTCGTAGGAGTTAGAGGTGCCGTATCCGGAGGAGGATCCAATGGTCGGCAGGTCGTTGTAGGAGTTCGTCCGGGAGGGGGTCCGATGGTCTCTGGAGTCGGTTCTCGGTCGGTCGTCGCGATCCCTCCTGTTAGGGCTGCCGTTGAATCCGGTCGAGTTGGTCGTGCATCCCGACCTGACGAAGTTCACTAGGGCACTGCCACTGGCCTCACCACCGATCACCTTGTTATTATTGACAGCCCCGTGACCGTGGTACCCGGCACCGGAGTTACTATGGGAGCTAAGGCTACCGTGCGAGTGGTAGCTGGCATTGGCCGGGTTCCCGTGAAGCGAGTTAACGTTGTTCTCCTCACTGTCACTGTTAGAGGTGGGACACTTGCTGGGCCCGAATCCACCGTACCCGGTGCGCAGCACGTCACTGTTCGTTGTTCTTTCGGCCCGGTACTCGCCGCGCTCGCGTTGTTGTTGCCTTTGGTCCCAGCCGTTGTTGTCCCCACCACCGCTCCCACCACCACCACCTACACCACCTACACCGGCTACGGCACCACCGCCACCACCGGCACTGGTGGCGTGCGTACCACCATGGCCTCCGCCACCACCGCCACCACCGCCACCACCACCGCCCCCACCGACACCACCACCGGCCGTCCTTCCGCTATCAACGACCGCTGTCGCCGTGTTTGCCAGCGAGCTGGGCTCGGGTTTTCGGTAGTGGGATATCCTGGGTCTCTTCGTTGGCAGGCCGTCGTTGCCCTGGTAGTATCCCGGTCTCTTCGAACTCATCAGACTCGGTGGAGGAGCCGTAATTGCCGGTGGTGATCCCGGGTGGGTCGAATTCGGCGACTGTCCGCTACCTAAAGCGTAACATCGGGTTTTCGTTAATTCCCCGACCATCGGTGCTCGTACAGGTTGGTACCGAATCGCTATACACCCCTGTAGGGTGTATTTAACTTTCTTTTGATAACGCTTTAACTCCTACGTACCGCTGGAGCCTCCGTCGCTGGATCCAGGAGGAGTTAAGTTTTGCGGTTTCCGCCTCTTCAACATAGCCTTCTCCTGCTCCGTGTAGAAGGGCCAATCCTCCTGCACGTCGTTCCACACGTGCCGATGAAGGTGATAGGTGTTGTCGCGCATAAAGGCCACCTGCTTCAGCATCGTCGTCATGATGCTGCGCTCGCGTTCCTTAATACCCTCTGAAAGTCAAGGAGGAAGGGTCAAGCTCGCGTAATGCATCCGGAAGCTGTTGAGGGTAAACCTTCGAGGACAGGATATCGTTCCGTCTTACCTCTGTTGATGCGATCGTACAGCTCAGGCTTCTTGTATGGCCTCAAGGCGAGTAAATGTATAAGCCGCTCTCTGTTGTACAAATAAAGGAAACATGTTACCACTTTGTTCCGGCGATTCGACTCGAGGCCTCACGGAAGGCTCCGAAGCCTGTGCACGCGAAAGAAGTTTTGTAAGGACTTCCTTTAGCAAACTCAAGGCCGAGGTCGATGATATATTCCTTTCGATAGCAAATATCCTGCATTACGACGAGCACCGTTAAGGTGAAGTGAAACACAGTCGATCGACGTCGGTAAAAAAGAATTCTCTAAATATCTACGTTGCCGACGTTCGTTTTTATATTGACAGCCGTGTAGAATTATATTGGCTATTGCACCAAATGGCATACTCCACCTGTCGTTTTCGTACAATAATTATAAAGAAATCGAAGTAAGACTCCAGAAATCACCTGGATTCATGCTTTCTCAGGACCTAATTGACTGCGGAGGGACCCCCCTGCGCCATCTGTGATTCCGTGTCAACTAAATTTTCAATTCGAGACCTCGTATTACCATCGCTTTTGCATAGTAACGTATAGACACTTTTTTTGCCTTTATCCCGTTCAAATGGGAGTTTCTCGATTACCAAAGTGTTCTAAGTTGTCGTACAATTGTCCTGACACTTTCATTTCTCGTATTAGAGCCTTCAATAATTGTATACTGATCGAAACACGAGAGCTCCCGTAATGAGGTACGCTACTAGTGACCGTAGCCGCGGCAAGTTTAAAGAAGAATTTTCTAAATACCTACGTTGCCGACATTCGTCCTGAACATTTTTATTTTCTATTCTAAGCCTCCAAAAAGTGTAAAACATCGAAAACGTGCACGGGCCACGCCACATTAGTTCTAATCCATGATAAAAAAAATTAATTTTTGGTGAAAAATGAAATTTCATGAGTTTCAGAATCTACTTTAGCGCTTCCATATTCCAGTGGTAAAATTTCAAACGAATCGGTACACCCAATTCGGAGAGTACTTTCCCCGACGATTTGACTTCCCAGAAATATATAGGCTGACTCTCTCATATCACCTTAACACATTCGCGACCTGCACATTTTTTTCCGTTTCAAATACTGAGTACCGGCGAAAATAATGAAATTCTGAAACTGGTTGCCGCAAACTTGCATCGTGTATCGTCATGGACGTGATTCACGTAAGCGGCAATCAGGAATAGACTTTAAAATGACGTGAATTCACGTCAGCGGCAACCAGGAATAGAACTTGAAAAGACGCGAATTCGCGTTCGCGAATGTGTTAATGTAGCCCAGAAAAATCTTCTCCGGCAAGTTCTAACCCTTGTATTTATCCTCTGTACCTGCTTCGAAGAAAACTTACTTAAGCGGCCTACGCATGATGTCCGACATCTTTTTCTCCGGTTGGGGCCGACTTGCCGTCGAACTTCCGGAGATGGGCTTGTAAGACGACAGCCTGGAGGACTGGCTTCCGGTCACAGGGATGACGGCCGACTCCCGGTGCCTGTTGTTCGCCGGGGGCGGTATCGTTCTTCCGGTTCCTTTCACCTTGACCTTGCGACCGATATCCGGCCCGTTCGCCTTGATCACCCTCGTACTGTAAGAGCAATAAGGTAAGGTAAACTTAATTATCCGCAAGGGGAGCTAATCTGCTCAAACGAGGGAGACTTGTTTTCATTAAATGTTTGCGTTCCTCGAGAAGGTCGAGCCAAGACTATCCGGAGGGCAAAAGGGTGATAACGCCACTTTGGTGCATGTAAATATCAGTCAAGACTGAGCGTAACGCTTGGAATTCGCGGATTCGCGAGGAGAACGGTGTTTCCTGAATACCGGGTCAATTGGAGCGGAATTTCTTGCATTCCAGGAGTAACGATTTATTTTTTATTAGAGACCAGGGAATGGGGCATTAATGACTGAACTAGGTATGGCCTCTCGCCGAGAATGGGACCACTTTTTCTTAATTGAACGCGGTTAATCGTGCAAGTTTGTTCCTCGAGAACGAGCTGATGTTAATTTCGATGCTCTTAATGACTTTGAATTTGCCCTCCTTGTACGACGGCGGTCGTAAGAGACGCGCTTGTAAATATCGTTCAAGTTTAATGCGCATTGCGGACGTTCGGTAATTAGAGACACGATGTAAGAGAGGTTTAAATGTTTGTCGAGTGAGAGCACGAATGGATAAGACAACACGCGGAAAATGATTTTGTCGGATCAATACGGTTTTTGTTGTTTCCTAGATAGAATATGATTACTATATGGAGAAGCACAACTTTGGTCGACATGATGGAATTCATTAGTTAATAACTTGTACGCGATTTTTACATCTATTCTATTTCATTTTCCATTCTGTTTATAGATTTATTACATGTACAGAGCATGTTCCGTTGAGAAGGTATGTCGAAAATAAATTATTAATAAATTATTTCGAATGTTTTTGTGACAATGTAGATGATTGAAGTCAATTTAACTGATTAGAACTGTTCCCTATGTATTTTGACTAATGGCTGATACAATTATAACTACTTGGAGTTATTTGTAACTTTAAATGCACTAAACATACTATAGATGTAATGCCGTGGCATGTGTAAATCAGTTTCAACCCCTTTCAATGTAGTACGGACCAAAAATATAAAATCCATGAAAATATTATTCACCTATACCGTTTTACCGTGTCGATAACAACGGAACAATTGGTCTAACAGACATGTAATTACTGTGAGACATTCATAGCGTTAACTGATAGCTTCCATTCTCGTGAGACATTTTTCCAAGTGTAAAGATAATAATTTATAACGTCTGTTACAATTGCCCCGTATTACATTTGACCTCGATNTTTGCGGCAACCAGTTTCAGAATTTCATTATTTTCGCCGGTACTCAGTATTTGAAACGAAAAAAATGTGCCGGTCGCGAATGCGTTAATACATATTTACGGCATCATGAAATAGGTTACGAGTAGTTTAGTGTCGGAAAAGCTGTATAGGCGGCGCACTGAGCAAGGGACAGGAATGGCGTCCACGCGCTGAGTCTTCCGCACGCCGAAACACACGCGGCCATTTTTGCCACCTGTTCCTCAATAAGCCGGCGATTTAGATTCGTCCATCGTTTGACATGAATATCACGAGTTCTCCTCGTAGACTCAAAATTTCGAATGAAACAAATGTTCCCGTTCTGCGAGCATCTTTTTCTACCATTTCGACTCATTTTCCGAAAATCTCCGCGAATCACTTTGACGCGTTCGACGAGCGTCCCCTACTGATTTGGCCTGGATTTTTCCGAGCTAATTTGTACCTTAAGGTGACATGAAAGTGTGACATACACGTACCAAAAAGTCGAAACGTTTATAAAACTTTTCTCCAAACTGGGTGCACCGAATTATCTTAAACTTTAACTCGTGATTATGGAGGCTCTAACGAAGAACGCGCTGTCCGTGAAATTTCATTTTTTGAAAAAAGATATTGTCTTGGTTCTCATTCGAGATAAATGCAAAATTTCTTCCGAAAAAATGAAATTTCACGAGCAGCGCGTTCTTCCTTAGAGCCTCCATAATCACGTGTTAAAGTTTTAGATAATTCGGTGCACGTAATTTTGAGAAAAGTTTTGTAAATATTTTCACTTTTGGTATGTATATATCACACTTTCGTATCACCTTAAGAGGTTAATATCTATCCCCGCCTCCAGTAGTATAATATAAATGTAGGACAAAAAGAGAATATGTAGTGCATGTAGTATACTTGTACCATACTACTCATAACCTATTTCATTATACCGTAAATATGTATTATATTAAGCACGTAAAATGAAGCGAGTGATTAGCTTCATGTAATAAATTTTAAGGATTTGAAAAATTTGAAAGTATAGCATAACGTTATACTTCCGTTGCGCACTTAAATAAATCGTTGTAATTACTGCAGTCTTAATTCTCTATCCGTTAAATCATAGTAGTATTTCCTTTCCTACCCTAACCGGTAGAATTTTCACTTTCAACGCCAGGAGCGGCGACACATTTTTGTCGGCGTGATTGCAGCGCTTTACGCCATTACAGCAGCGTAATTTCAGCTGCCAAACGCGACGAATGTATACAACATACCAGTAAATGGATCAGGATGTACTAGTAGGAGTAACTGTAGTGGCAATGAGAAAAACGAGAATACGAAACCCGCCAGTCTCACTTTGCTGTTAACCTCCCTCCACGAGTAGAAACGAACTGAAGAGGAAACGAAAACGTGAAACACCTCAACCCTGCTTCCCTCACAGTTTGCGAGGAGGGGGGAGACCATAGCGGTTCGTACCCCCTCCCTCCCCACTTCGACTCAATATTGGCAGCGTCGGACGCCATAACGTGACATCCCTCTACAGCGTTTCACGTTTTCGTTTGCTTTAAGGTGAAGTGAAACACGTCGAGGAACTTGATCGACCTCGATAAAGAAGATTTTTCTAAACGCCTACGTTGCCGATGTTCGTTTTTATATTGACAGCTGGGTCGAATTGTATTGGGTATTGTACCAAATGGCATACTCCACCTGTCGTTTTAGTACAATAAATATAAAGAAATCGAAGTAAAACTCCAGAAATCCTCTGGATTCGTGCTTTCTGGGGCCCTAATTGACTGCAGAGGGACCCCCTGCGCCATCTGTGATTTCCAGGTCAATTCAATTTTCACTCCGAGACCTCGTATTCCCATCGTTTTAGCATAGAAGCGCATACAACACTTTTTTTGCCTTTATTCCGTTCAAATGCGAGTTTATGGATTACCAGAGTGTTCTAAATTGTCGTAAAATTGTCCTGACCCTTTCGATTCTCATATCAGAGCCTTCAATAATTGTATATTGATCGAAATATGAGAGCTCGACGCCATTTTGGTTCTTGTCTGGGCTAAGTTATAACATTTTTTTCAAAAATCCAAATTTTCAATGTGTCAGAACAATTCTTAGATGATCAGGAGTGACGTGTCAAACTTTCGGACAGTTTGGTCTTTTACCCTTAAAAAAAAGTGTTGTATACGAATCGACTGATTTGAAGGGGGTTTCGCTTCACCTTAAATTTCCAAGCAGCGAGCTGATACTACCGTGGGTAAAGAACCTGCTTTTCAAAAATGTAAAACCCAATGATTTTTTATGGAAATGAAGGATTGGAAAGATTCTTACCATTTGTTCTTGTTGTTCTCTTCGGCGACCGCCATCCGATGCCTGGTCGTCTCGTAGACGTCGTCGTTGGCACGAATCCGCATTTTGCACGGCAACGTCCCCAGGCTTTCGAGACTCCTACATTGAAAGAAGTGGAATGATAAAGCCTCGTTAAAAAACGAGTACTGTGGGGAGTAGCACTTTGAAGAGTATAAAAATGCTTTAGAGACGTACTTAGGCCCGGTTTGTTGCACGCATTCGAAGGCACCCTGAGGACCCTCGACATCCTGGTTTCCCGAGAGACTAAAGGTGAATCCTGCGGATCCATGGCTGGACTGGGTGGATGGAAAGGACAGTTGCTGAAACGAAAAAAATTACGGTGTTAGGCAAACTCACCAGAAAACATCTATTAGCTGTAGTATTGTTACATTTTATTGGTATTTCCAGTATCACAACGACGACATTATCCATCATTTCTATATTATTAACACGAAATTATCTGTCTCATATATAGAGATATTTTCATATACATGGTAGTACTTTTTTTCTTATGGCTAATTGCTATGGACGTTCATGTTTATATTTTAGAATTAACACAGCTTACCTAAACGTTTTTGTCATTATGGGTTATTTTCTCAATTAATTTTACAGTCAATGACTGTTTATATTCATGTTTGTATGTTAGTATTGTCATGCCAGAAAACATTACCAAACGCATATAAGCATTTCGCAAAAAAATTACTAAGAATAATTAATAATAATTCTCCAACTTAGATCTCTATGCCCGTGAAAGGGAATTATTTTCGTGATTAAAAGAAGACAAATTGCTTATCAGGGTGCACATGCGTGTTGCATGGATTTCTTTGTGGGTGACAACGTGGGATCAGGTGAGAATAGGCGGATACGTGCTGACGTCCGTACCTCGTATCTCAATGTTCACGTGTACAATGCTATCGATATAGTATCATATCTCGAGTGTCAGAAACTAATCACTTATCGTTGTAATGCACATAAGGCTGCATGCGCGATTACCAAAGTTTATATTAATTTTTGCTCCACCTCTTCGTCACCATATGGAACGAGATAGCTTAAATAATTGTCGTAACTTCACGTTATAAATGATGGTTCCTTTCTTTCGTCATGAATCTCAAACCCATAAAATGTAAGAAATGCAAAATACGCGTACTCATGCCCTTATACCTAGGCGTGTTTTCTTCAGACACACGTACAAAGTGTTTCGTTCAATTTGATCACTGAAAATGTATTTCTTACTTTTAATTATAGAAAAATGTTTAGAAAGAATATTATTTTATCATAAGAGACCTGATTTAAAGAACAATTATTCTGAAGATGTTTTTCAAACTTTTAAGGTGATGCGAAAGTGACGTCGAAGAGGATTTGTTTATAAAACTTTTCTCCCAACTTGGTTTACCGAATAGTTTGAAACGTTACAACGTGAATAGGGAGGCTATAAAGAAGGTCCTGAAACTCATGAAATTTCAATTCCTTTTAGATTTGTTTATAAGTATTGTAAAAATTGTTTATAAAAAATGAAATTTCGCGAGTTTCAGGATCTACCTTAGGGTATCCATATTTACGTTTCAAAGTATGAAACGAGTTGAGACACCCAGTTCGGAGAAAAGTTTTATGAACGATTGAGCTTTCGGATGCCACTTTCACATCCCCTTAACCCTTTTACTTACAATATCGTGTGAGGGACGTGGTATGTCAATTGGGTCAAACGTGAACAAAACGTGTGAGAGACGTGGTATGTCAATCGGGCCGAACGTAAACAAAACGTACGAGAGACACGTGACACTTTGAACGTTCGGCCAAACCGTGAAATGGCCCGATGTATGACCGACACTTTTGTTGTTTATGGCACGCGCTATTGGAATTTAAATCGTAAGGCAAGAGGTTAAGGGTACGGTAGGGTGGGGTGAGTGGCCCGGAAAAGCGCCCATACGTATTTTCAAAACAAACCATCTGAGATTAGTAGTTAACTTCAGTCGTGTTTTGATCGCTGGCCGGTATTGTGCTTAGTTCCGAAAGATGGTTGAAATACAAGTGAGAACAAAGCGTCCAAGTAAGTTTGAAAATATCTGTCTATTTTATTAAAATTTTCACGTTTGCAAGTCGTAAGCCCTACCCTACCCTATTGGCATTTTTTTACATCATTTCATCACTCCTCTTATTGATAAAGAAAGGCATTTAATAACTTGCTACATAATACTTCCCCGATGGAAAGAAATATCGCAATAAATTGGGCAACATAACTTTGCGTAGCACGACTCACTCATGGATGTGCAATCACGATATCCCGTTAACAATTCATTGAAAAGATATTCCGTGGCAAGTAATTGAACTCGTCATCTTATGCATTATGAAGACAATTAGCGTCTTATTAAAAGATTCATCGGCAATCTCGGGATTTTAACCATTTCGTTACCTTGGACGAGATATCTCGCGACCCGATAGTNGGGTCGCGAGATATCTCGTCAAAAGCGTTGATCGGCCAGTATTTGGTCGCGAGATATCTCGACCAAGGTAATGAAAGGGTTAAAGCGCAACCTTGAAAAAGTGTTCTCTCGGTCTTGATATTCTTTCTTTCCTATGTAATTTCTTGAATGACACAGGCAAAAGAGTTAACATTTCATCTTGCACATGCAACAACATATAAGAGTGATCGAATGAAATGTATCGAAAAGATGATCCGGCGTAACCTTGGTTAATGTTGGTAATGACGAGGCGTGATAAATTCGCGATTAATAACCTACATACGCGACTCCGATAACATTCGTCGCCAAAGCAAGAAGAGAAGGTGAGCTTTTACGCTTTTAAAGAGTTAACATTTCATCTTGCACATGCAACAACATATTCGGGTGATCGAATGAAATGTATCGAAAAGATGATCCGGCGTAACCTCGGTTAATGTCGGTAACGACGAGGCGTGATAAACTCACGATTAATAACCTACGTACGCGACTCCGATAACATTCGTGGCCGAAACAAGAAGAAAATGTGAGCTTTTACGCTTTTAAAGAGTTAACATTTCATCTTGCACATGCAACAACATATACGGGTGATCGAATGAAATGTATCGAAAAGATTATCCGGCGTAACCTCGGTTAATGTCGGTAATGACGAGGCGTGATAAACTCACGATTAATAACCTACGTACGCGACTCCGATAACATTCGTGGCCGAAGTAAGAAGACAAGGTGAGCTTTTACGCTTTTAAAGAGTTAACATTTCATCTTGCACATGCAACAACATATTCGGGTGATCGAATGAAATGTATCGAAAAGATGATCCGGCGTAACCTCGGTTAATGTCGGTAACGACGAGGCGTGATAAACTCACGATTAATAACCTACGTACGCGACTCCGATAACATTCGTGGCCGAAGCAAGAAGAAAAGGTGAGCTTTTACGCGCATTGAGTGCACTTGTGGGTTTTATATACAGGGTACATAAATCCGTACATGAGCACGGTGTGGGTGCAGTCTGATATCTCGGGTGTCGCGACCTGTGCACCTCTCGTAATGCACCTACGGGATGCGCGATGCACTTCCAGTGAGAGCCCGACGTCGCGCTTGCGATAACGAGTAACGATAATGCGCTTCCTCGGTGCACCGAATGATTACTATGATAATTCCCGCGAATGTCCACGTATCCGTGTACTCAAGTCGGGGATACGACGGATACAGGGTATTTATAACGAGGTGTTATCGTCGTTTCTGCGTTCGGTCGGCGATAAATGCGCGCGAAGAATAATAAGTCGGCTCGAGACGAGATGCAGGCCGATTCGGAATTCTCGAATTCTGCCTCTCGTCTTTGGAAATAAAAATAAAGATGATAACTACGTTCGCGAAGAGTCCTGCGGACGATAGACCTCGAGATATCCAGACACGAAACTCCCTCAAAAGTTGGGCTGTGTGAACCTGGAATCCAGTTTGAGGCACAAATGAAATGAACAGGCTTATTGGAATGTTCCTGTGATGTAGATGTTTGTGTCATGTTGAGTTTTGTTTGTGGAATTTTGTTTGATAAAAATCAAAGCGGTTTAAAGAGATAAACAAATTCCGAAATCGTGGAAATTTGGATTTTTCGACTGTAATGGGTTCTCTGACGTTAGAACAATTCAGAACCTCTCAGAACGTCGAAAACGTTAAAATGGTCATTTTCGGAATTTGTTTATCTTTTTTTTTTAACTCTGGCTATTAAGAGCGCCTAAAGGCGCCTTACGTTTGGTCCAATATTGCCTGCACGGTCAGGCGAATTTCGCCCATATGTCGAAATGGCTCCCTGTTCATAGGGTTAACAGCTCTGGTTTTTGTAAAATGAAATGGCACAAACAAAACTCAACATGGCAAACACATTCAAATAAGCCTATTTGTTTTGTTTGTGCCTCAAACTGGATTCCAGGTTAACACAGCCCAAAAGTTGCGCTTGCTTTTCTGATGCGATTACGCGGGGTGGTTCATCTTTTGATTATCAACTCAGGAGTGGACTTCGGGATAATGAAAGAATTTTTAAAATTAAACATCTGCGATTAAAACGTCCCGGGGGAGAATTAATTACCTGATTATATTCTCGGGTTTTGGATGGGAATAAAATGTATGATTTTGTCGGAAAGGTTTCGATATTTCGACACCTCCGAATACAAATGCACTCTATATTTCGGGGAATACTACTTTTATGTGAGAATCAGTACAAGAGTATTCGAAATTTTGAACGAAACGGCAAGCCGAGGAAAAGATCGATAGAAATGTTATTAAATGTACATCACGCTTTTTTCAAAATATGTACACTTGAGTACCTGCACGTGATCGAAAGTTAACATATATGCCACCAGAAATTCCTATATTTGTATAATAAAATCCCGAGCACAATTGAATACATAATTTTGAAATACTATACCTTGTAGAGAACTTCGACTATATGTATACCATATGTCGAACAGATATTTTTAACAGCGTATTAACAAAGTTGTTTGGAACTCGTCCGAAAGGATAAGATTTCGCAGCCGTTCATTAACGGAGACCCGTCTAGTTAAGAAGTCGGTAAACGAAGCTGGAGATGAATTAAACAGTCGAACAACGAGCGTAATCAGTGGTTGGCTTTCGACGTTGACAAATGCACGGTCGACCGAGCCGTCCAAATCGCCTTGAAAGTATTTTTACTGTCGAACAAGTAGCAGACAGTCGATGCCGAGTGTAAGGTGAGCACACAGTGTTCGAAACGTCGAATAATCAGCGAGAGTCGCTCACGATAAATACGGCTGAATGAATCCTTCACCCTACTCGAGAGTGAGTACTCTCTAGTATCGAGATTTGTACTCAATGACTACTAGGGAA